CTTCAGATGCAAGAAGTGAGGTTCTAACCCACGAAAGCTTATGCTCCCAATACTTCTGTTAGTCTTAAAGGTGCCACAGGACCCTCTGTTGCTATAACTGAAAAACGTCAAGCGCCTTTCCTCCCAAAGGCAAAGGAAACTTCCCAGAAGGTGTGCTCGGAAGACACTGACATCTATCTTTCACTAACAGGTCGGGAAATTGGCTAAGGTGTGTCTGTTGCTTTGTAAATCAAAGGGTAAATTGTACCGACCTTACACAACCAGCAATTTTGTGGAGCCTACACAGCTGGGACTTAAGGAGGCGCCTTTGACTTTTTCAAGTTATGATTTCAAAACCCGTTGTGGAGAAACAAGCATCCTGTCTGGAAATTCTTCGAAACCTTTTTGTTGTAAGTGGGGTACTCGTTTGAGCCTGATCCACCAAAGCATTTGAGCACGTGCTTAATGTTAAGCACGCGAGGAGTCCCATTGAAACTTGAACAACAAGGAGTCTGGTGGCACCTTAAAGAGATGCATCTGAAGAAGTGAGGTTTTTACCCACGAAAGCTTATGCCCAAATAAATCTGTTAGTCTTTAAGGTGCCACCAGACTCCTTGTTGTTTCTGTAGATACAGACTAAAAAGGCTACCCCCTGATAATTGAAACTTGAGTGCTTTGCTGAATCGGCTCCTTAGTTTTCGCTGCTTCTACGTTGGCTCCGCTTGCACATGAAAAACACCTGCAGAGCGATACATGTTCGTTTTAAATGTTAAAAAAGTGAAAGACACCCTTCTTGATTTGACATCAAACAACGTTAAATTAGTTAAACCAGACGCCGAAACGCGCAGAAATCTTTCCCCTTCCCATACAGAGAAATGTATGGAAATTCTTCTTTTTTTCTAGCCACTGGATTGACTCTGCCTAGACTAGCTCATCTGATCCCCATTTGGGAGGCACGCTAGCGCGTATTTAAAAAGAGACTGTTAAATTTGGAGAGCCCTGGGCGCACTTTAAAAAGCTGCTCCTTGAGTTCCCAGCCCCCGCAATCCAGCTGATGAGGAAAGGCGCTGTGGTTTTGGTGGCACCGTTTGCATTGGGATTGGCACCATTTGATTGACAAAGTCTCCCATTCTTCCACATGTTGAGTGTTATCAAACGGATTGTGTGGGGTCACAAGCTCTTGAAGAACCGTCCGTGTAGCCGCAGAGAAGAGAATAAAGCATTCTGCAAACACAGGGTGCAGACGGTGGCATTCTCATGAATATGCTTCCAACAGGCGAAATGCATTTCATCTTTCTTCTTCCTCCTCCTCCTTAGCATTTCCTTTTAACTCAAGCGCTTTAGTGGACCGCATCACCAGGTAAAAGGACACATCGCTGCCAGGCAGTGAGGTAGGATCAAACCAGGGAGTTCGGAAAGGCTGGATTTCAATTGCTCTGAAGGCAGCTTTTTCAAAACAAGGTCGGAAAGGCGGTTTAAAAACAAAAAACAAACTTTCCTGATAGTTGCACAGGAGACTGAACTACCCTGCTGTAATTAACTTGGGTGGCTCAGTGATAGCATTCCATTAGGATAACTCATTTTGCTAAAAAGTGTATGCAAGTCATATGATTTGCAATAAACAATCCGTGTGTGTGTGTGTGTAAGCTAAATGACAATGACAAAAAGCGAGTTTTACCTTCATACATATCAGAGACGCAGGACACATATAACAATCACATCAACTTTCCTTTCCATGATCCAGCACAAAGCCACCTCCGCACTGATCGGGTTAATCTAATTGAGGAATATTTTGAGGCCATTGACGTGCATTCGTTCGAACAGCAGGACAAATAAGAATGATTAACCAGAAAAGTTTTGAAAAAGGAATAATTTCAACACATTAAAAAGGCACATCTGCACCAAGACCCACTACTATAGTGTATGTGCAAAATTATCGTCAGATAGGAAGCCTGTGCTATATTAAACGGGCAATTACACATTACTCGGAAAGATACAGGTTCCAGTGATATTTGGTAGGAAAGGCAAAATACGGAGGATTTTTAGACGTGTCATATACATAGCTAATATCCTGAATAGAAAACATCCCTTTTCCTTACCACTAACAATAACTTTTTGCAATAATTAAACTGAGATTAATAATTGAGTGGTTTTGGAATTAGGTATAATGTAATGTAAACTCCTTTCAAAAATATATTATTCTTGCCCGCATAGGCTGCAGAATTAGTATTTTTCCATATACTTTTATGTCCTGTTCCTTTGCTAACGTAATAAAATACGGACGAGATTTATGTGGAAAATCCGGAAAAAAGCTTCGAATTTTGAGCTGAATAGTCTCATCAACGAGAGCATTGAAATAAATGTGTAAAAAATGACAGATTAATGCAATTATCCCTTGGCAAAGCCAACGAAGGAAATGTTCCACGTAATTAGAAAGACGAACTAAAGATGTGAAAAAGAAAACAGGACGCCTCCAAAGCAGACGCACTTCTAACCAAAAGTTGTCCTTCCCGGATATGCTATAGGCGACATAACAGACTCACAACAAACCCTCTTTTCGGTATTAAGGCTGGAGATAACCTGGTGCCTAAAGAGGCAGTTGAACTGATGCAGAGGAACTGAGGCCCTGACTGAAAAAAAGTTCCACCGATTATATTTGTGTGGAAAAGCTCACCTCTTGCAGAGCTCTAAAGTATAATCAAGGCGCAGGCTTATACTTGAAGGGTGTTAATTCTCATACGGGAACCTACTTTCTCCTAAACCGTTTCTTGCCTACTGAATGAGAGCCTCCCAATTGAAGTAAAATGATCCTTATGTCTAATATCAAGCACAGTCACAAAGCGACTGGCCATTTATGCTGCCACTTTAGACAAAGATATTTAGTTATTCCCGGGTAGCAAGTGCACTTTTGCATTTTTAAGCAGGAACGAGTACAAACATATTTACAAGTGCGATTATTAAATAGTTATTTGATGCTTTAAAGTCACTAGGTTAACTGCACCTTTGCTGCAATTTTCTTAATATTCAGATAATCCCTTTATTAAATTAGTTCCCAATCCTTTGGGCCAGTGTGTTAAAATTCGTGGAAGGTTTTTCGTTGTGTTCAGGAGAGACACTGAAATGTGTGATTTGTAGTTACTGTAAAAGTTGGAAGAGTCCTTCAAAGTCTTGGCAATAATCTGAGTCACATTAACTATTCGAGACATATATATGTATTAATATGAATGGACTCTACATTTACTTAAAACTAGATTGGGCAAAATACAGTATCAAACATTTCAAGAAACCAAACCTTCATTGGCAGGATGATGGACCAGATGACCAAATAGGTCTTTTCCATCCCTAACTTCCTTGATTCATAAATAACCTTAGAAACCATCTTTAGCGGTGCCATAGAAAACCTCTGACACTGCTCCTGCTAGAAAATGACGAATGACATTTTGTTTTAAGATATTTTTCAACAATCTGTCACCTATCATTACTTTACATATTTGCAAGCAAGCTTCCATCTCTCTCAAAGTAAAAAGTAGGCAAAACGATCTGATGATTTAATGTATAAGAACCAGACGCTGATTGTGGCGTTGCATTTTAAGACTTATTATAATATATGTTATAGAGAAACCTCCTCTGCAAGGTTGTTAAAATGCAGGTGCTGTTCACTAGTCAGCCTTTATACCTGACAATCTTTTGGGCATCTCTAGGACTCTTGGTATTGTGCAATGCACCGTGTTGGAAACGGTACCTCAGATATGAACGTTAGATTCTCAAACTATTCTAGGAGAGATTTCTCCCTTCAATGTTTCTTTAAAGTCTAACTTAGTGGGGAAGGAGGGAGGGAGGGGGGAAGAGAGGGGAAATAAATCCCTTTGTTCCATAATGTTAAACTCTATCTAGCCATCCCTCACAAAGGCTGAGGCTATAATGTTAGGAGTCGGAATAGAATTGTAAGTCATTTCTCTTTAACTCAGCAAATTTGTCTTTACAAATGACATGAAATTCCCTATCCATAATGCTGCCACCCCAGAAGAATAAAATAAAATTACTTGTGCTCACGGGGTCTTTCAAAAAAAAAGACATTAAAAATCCTGACAAGTAAAACTTAAAGGTGTTTACCTTGTCATCAGCATGTAAGCTAATTATCTTGGGCAAGATGTAGGCTTCTATTGTCTTGTTGCTTTAGTGCCTATGCCCCGCCTCTGGTGGCAGCCTAAAACCTGGCGTCTGGCTAAAACAAACGAAAGGCAGCCCTGAGCCTCCACTCAATCCAATTAAGGCGGACTTCGTCCACTCGGTTACGTGTACATCCAACAAGATCGGCGTTAAGGCAACACCAGAATATTTGGCAAAAAAGATTTGCCTCCCCTTCCCCCTTTTTTTTCAGCCGCCGAATCATGTCGATGAGCCCAAAGCATACGACTCCTTTCTCAGTGTCTGACATCTTGAGTCCCTTGGAGGAAAGCTACAAGAAAGTGGGCATGGAGGGTAGCAACTTGGGGGCTCCCTTGGCAGCCTACAGGCAGTCTCAGGTTTCTCAGCCAGCAATGCAGCAGCACCCCATGGGCCACAACGGGACAGTGACTGCTGCCTACCATATGACAGCGGCAGGCGTCCCCCAACTCTCCCATACCACTATGGGGGGCTACTGCAACGGCAACCTAGGCAACATGGGAGAGCTTCCACCTTACCAGGAGACCATGAGGAACAGTGCTTCAGCCACAGGATGGTACGGGGCCAACCCGGACCCGCGCTTCTCTACAAGTAAGTGAGCCCCGTAACCAGCGGACAAAACTTTACGCACAGCTCCAATGTAGCGACTTGGAGAAACCATGTCGGTTGCGGTACAGTGCGGGTTTTGGAGCGGGAGAGGTTGGGGGGGGGCGGAAAACAAGGGGGGGAAAGTGGCTTGAAGTCGAAACCAGGTCAGCCCAAAGAGCTGGATCGCGGCAGGGCTGTCTAGGATTGATACGATCGGTATTTTTTTCCCGGCTTCCTGACCTGTTTTAGCTCTTTCTCGGTATCCCCTGTCTCTCGCTTTCCATTTCACCCCCGGCTCGTGGGTTGCTTCACTGAGAGGGAAGGTGTTGTCCGGCCCCAGTGAGCCAGCGCTCCCTTGCCGAAGGAGAACCGACGGGGGATAGGAGCGATTTCACTGTAGGCGAGGAAACGTTTGGGTGGCCGTGTCCTTAGGGGGGTCTCTTCCCAAGCCTCCTGCAATAAACAACCGTGCAGATAAGGGCGACAGAGAACGGAAACGCGGGAAACATTGTCATTAGGGCAAGGGACTCGTTTAAATACAAACACCTTCCAACCTAAATTCCGAATAATTCGCAACTAAATCGACCTTTAGTTATTGACCTATCCTGTCTCAGCCCCACACATGCCTGCTTAACACAGAAGGTGGTGGAAGGGGGAACTCGCGTGTATTCGTTTAATAAGGCTATACGGAGCGAGATGTTTTCTTCTTACGGAGAGTGGTTCGAAAGGGGGGTGAGACCCGTTTGAAGGTGGAAACTTGCACCAGCTATTGAATGTTCCTAGCACTGCTTTTGTTGTGTCCTCTTTCCAGCTCTCGGATAGCCCGTGTTTGTACATACTCAGTTATTGGTGAAGGTTTTCCTCCGTATGACCCCCTAAGTGTTTGGAATAGCACAGACAGAGACAGGTTGGGGGGGAGGGAAGAAGCGCAAATCGTTATCAAACTGTTTCCCTGCTAGTAACACAGCGTGCAGCGGTATACAGCCCTGCCTGGCTCGGTGGTGCGCTAGTACCAATGCAACCGGTTTAGGTGGGTTTCGAATAGATTTTGACTGGGAAGGCGATTAATTGGGGAGAGGATCTTGGCTTTGGAGTCAGTATTCGAAAAGCGTTTCTCGCCCAGGCAGTCCTGTGCCGCTAACCGTGTTGCTTAAAATGTGTGATCTTCTTGATTTTAGTATCCCGCTTTATGGGGCCGTCTTCTGGAATGAACATGGGCGGCATGGGGAGCTTGAGCTCGCTGGGAGACGTTAGCAAGAGCATGGCACCTCTCCAGAGCACTCCGCGGAGGAAACGCAGGGTCCTTTTCTCCCAGGCCCAGGTTTACGAGCTGGAGAGACGTTTCAAGCAGCAGAAATACCTCTCGGCTCCGGAGAGAGAGCATTTAGCCAGCATGATACATCTCACTCCGACTCAGGTCAAAATCTGGTTTCAGAACCACCGCTACAAGATGAAACGCCAGGCCAAAGACAAAGCTGCGCAGCAGCAGATGCAACAGGACAACAGCTCTTGCCAACAGCAGCAGTCTCCCAGAAGAGTGGCGGTGCCCGTGCTTGTCAAGGATGGCAAGCCATGTCAAGCCGGCTCCAACACACCGACGGCAGCTATCCAGACCCATCAGCAGCAGGCAGCTGCAGCAATCACAGTGGCTACCAATGGCAACAGCCTTGGACAGCATCAGAACCACCAGCCAAACAGTGCAGGGCAGTCTCCAGACCTGGGACAGCACTCAGCCAGCCCTTCGTCTCTCCAGAGCCAGGTCTCCAGTTTGTCTCACTTAAACTCTTCTAGTTCTGACTATGGCACTGCCATGTCTTGCTCTACCTTGCTCTACGGTAGGACCTGGTGAGAGGATATTTTTTTGAAAGAAAGCTCAGAGGCGCCCAGTCACACAAATCTTTGTCCTGTTCAAACTATTTTTTTTTATTTTTATTTTTTAAGGAGCGGTTCTTTGAGGAACCCCTAAAACAGAGAGACAGAGAGTGACTTTTAGGTTGTTAAATGAGTATTTAATAAACAAAAATCATGGAGCAGTTGCAGAATGGAGCCCATGAGTGGTCATGGTCTGAAGGCTTGGATTTCAAATGTACACTTTGCCAGCGAATAGACCTTGCATGTAAATACAGAGATTTTCGGAGGGGAGGGGGTGGGCGTTTCCCCCCCAAAAAACCATTAGTGTCACCCAGACAAAAGGAAAGGTCCCCTTTCTACTCCCCCAGCCCAGCCGCCAGGGCCCGCGGATGGAGATATCGATTCGTCACAGCTTGGCATTTTTTTCTTCCCTTACTTTTGATGTGAATCTGTAGCTGTATAATGCTGTCAAAAGTTGGGCTAAACCCATAGTTTTTAGTAACCTGTATATTTTGTTGTAAAGAAAAAAAATACAATCAACCAAATCAAACCAAAACACACACCCGACCTTTTTTATGGACATTGGACGATCCGTGTAAATCCTTTGGCAGTTTGTTATTTCCGCACGTCTCCTCTTTCTGTTGTAAACTTATGTAGATATTTGGCTTAAATATAGTTCCTAAGAAGCTTCTAATAAATTATACACATTACAAATATTCTTTTTATTATATTATTATTATTATTATTATTTCCCTTTGCTTTCCCCCGTAGATTTCTCTCCCCACCCCCGAAAACAAATGGGGATGCTAATAAATACTGACACTAAAAGCAAAAAAGCCCAAATCTTGCGCCCATTGAAGTCAATGGGGAGTTCGGCCCATTGGTTTCATGGGAAGCAGGATCAGGCCCAGGGTCTGGGGAAGTGATAAGCAAATATACGTGATAACAATATTCCTGTTTTATCTAATGAAGGAACCGAGTCCGAATTGATTAGCTAAATATCAGGCTTGGGAGCCCCAGCAGATGGTTATTCATAGAGAAAGGAAAGTATTCCAGAAGCAGTCACTGAAATTCCAAAAGGCATTCAAGAGAAGTTAAATGTCTGAGGTTATTAGAAACAAACTAATGAGTAGCCCACTGACAGGCTAGCAAATGCAACCGTTTTAAAGCGTGTCCAGTTTTAATAACTTGTACAAAGATCATTTCTACCAGGTTTTATGTACTTGTATTTTAAGGAAAGTACAGTCACCTTATTTATAATCAAAATAAAATGGTAGTTTATTGTGTCCGGCGTGTAGTTTGAATTAACTTTCTTTATAAAAATGTCTTTCATTTTATACACACACAGGCGCAAACGAATCACTTCAGTTTGTCCTGCAGCTTTCATCCTTACAAACAGGCAGGGAAACCTACTTTGCTGAGGGCGCGTTTCGTTTTAACGCAGATTGCGTTTGCTTCGGTGTCTGGACTAGGCTGTAAAGAAACAGGTGAAGAGAAGGGAGGGTGTATGTGTGTAGCTGAGAAACAGACGTGCATGTGTTAGTGATGTAAACACTATAGGGATTCAAGAGAGGTATGTGTTAACTTCGGTGTAAATAGACAAAGTAGATATTGTGAAATAGCTTTTAACTGGACAATCAACAAATACATTAAATTCAGAAGCCTTTTGGCCCATCACATCTCTTTTGTGAGTGTAACTGAAAATCCGAAGTACCCAGTGTTAACCTATCCTATCAAGGACCTCAGACCCCAATTTCCTCCAAATCGCCGCCTTAGTTGTAATTTTCCCTCCGATTTTTAAATTAAAACGCGGAAATAAATCTCATAATTCAAAGATTTCTGAAATGCTGAAGAATCACGAACCAGTGCCTGTTATTTGAGACGGAGCGAGAAAGGAATTAGCCAGCAGTGGAAACAAACAAACAAATCTACAGTTTTTGTAGCAGCGCCGGAGGGCTCTATCATCTTCGATACCCTTGTGTTACTCAGAGAGCTTGGATAAGAAAAAGAAAATAGAATAAAAAGATTATCGGATCCTTCTGTTAAACTGGAGGACATCACGTGTGTCAGCGGGAATTGTTATAGTATTCCGTAGGTTGATAGAGGAAGATTATCAAATGGGCTAGAACATATTTTAACGTTACTTTTGTCTCTATTAAGAATATTAATTTCAAATTTATAAGTATAAGTCAAAACTAGCATTCAGAGAGCCTAAACTGAGTGCTCGGTGCTGTCATTTAAAATAGAAATACACAGGAAAATTGGTTGGAATTTCTTCGAAGTGTTAAACTTCTGTTCTTAGGTCCTGGCCCAAGAGGAGATCTGTGCATATTTAATGCTATACATTTTTAGTAGGTCTAGTTACTCTCTCCCAATTTTAAAGAAATGCTATGCTTAAATCGACACTTGCCCTTTCTTGGGATTTCTTTTAGACTCCTTCCAAAACCCGGTAATTTTCAAACTCGAGCGGAACTAGCAATAATTGGAAAATCCTAGAACTATTTTCATGGAACGGAGAAATAAAGTTGGCATGTTTAGTGTGGAACCAGCTAGCGACTTAACATAATAGACTTTGGGCAATAAATGAATTTTATTGTATCTAGACAACCTCATAAACACATATTTGGTGGTGGGTGTAATTACTGTAATGGATTATTATGTACACTGGCTTATCTTTCTTAAACTAAATTTAGTTTCGATTAAATAAACTCGTTTCCACTTTGTCTGATGTCGGCTTAGTTTAAAGTCTGTTTACTTGTTCCCCAGAAAGGTGAATTCATCTCTTTATAAAGCACTAGAGACCAAGCAAACACAATTCAAACTGTATTTACATATCAATCAGGAGAAATGCAAACAAACTGCCTCTTTAACAAATTTATAGTTTTTTTTATGACACCGTATTATTAGCCTTTTATCATAGACTTCTTTGTACAGCCAGTTATGTCTCCCATTACGATCAAGATATTCCAACGACTTTTAAAACATTTTAATCTAAAATATCCCTTGAACAGACTCGCGGGAATTTACCCACTGTATAGCTTTCCTAAATTAAAATATATGCTACTATGTAAACCCTTGCCTCTTCCCATGCCACTGATTTTCAGTCGCTTGTTAATCAATGCAGAACTCGAATAATGGGAAGTTAAAAAGGCGGGGGCGGGGGGAGCTAGAACAGTGATTAAAATCTTTGAAATGATGGAAGAGAAATACATTTCCAAATGTCTCCGATCACATATACAAATCAGACCACGGGCACCATATATATATATATTTTGTAGTTAAAGAGATCTAATAAAGAATGGCTGTTTCCTCCTTCTGCTCCCCCCTGGCACTGCCTATAGATGTACGAGATTTGCTGAGGGCATTTTTTCCCTGCTGTAAATAGGAGTTCATGCTCGAGTGCCATGAAGTGTGTGGATGTAGTGGCACAGCAGGCTGGAGGGGGAAAAAAATCAGGGCTTCGCCATATTTGCTGTTCGGTATGAACGCAGTTTTGTTTCAAACCAACGTCCTTTTACCACCAGTAGCTGAGGAGTCTCGGAAAGAAACACAATCAGAAGGATCTCCAATCTTGGGGTCTGAGCCAAGATGATATTTCTGTTCCCTGCAGTCAGAATAAGAAGCAGTTCAGGGATGATTATTATACACACGAGAAAACCAATCGGGATGCTAATCTAGATGTGTATTGCCTGCATTTTAGTTCAAAAGGCAGTTCAATATCCTAATACAGTTAGTTGTTTAAAGTGCAGGTCCCAAACAATGTAATCTGAGACAGTTCTAAAATGACACCAAGGGAAGTTGCCACAGAAAAAAAGTATGTTAGGAGTTTTATTGCAGACAGCAGGTAAAAGGGCCTCGCTGGGGAGTGAGCTCTATTCTAACTACTCATGGCGACTGCTTTTACAAAGGGAACTTGGAGGTAAACACTGAATGGTTCCTGAAGAATTTCAATCCTTTCATGGCAATGTTTGGCGCAAAGTTGACACTATCTTTCTATCTGACCAGCTGTTCCTCTTATGATTCCCATCGAAACTGCCCCCTCCCCCAACAAGTAAATTGTATATATGTATCAAATGGGTACAAAGATAGAAATATTGTCTTCTATGGCAAATTGATGATTAACACGAAATGAGATCTGGTTGTCTCTGGCTGCAAGCACATTAGGGATCAGGTAAGGTCAAAGCTTTATATATTATGTCTTTTTTCTCTAAGGCTTCTGGTCAGTTTAGGATAAAGAAAGTGAGTAAGATGTGTTGTCATAAAATTAAATTAAAATACTTTTTAATGCTTAAAGTAAGTGAGCATGCCGAAAACTGCTTCGAAAACCGAAAGTGGAAAAAGTTAGTTGTGAGATTCAAGCTTAGATTTAAAGGTTCGGGTTTTTTAAAAAACTTGATCATTTTTATAATAATAGCGAAGATATGAAAACCAGTTTTATGGGTATGACTTAATTGACCCGAGCTGCCACATATAAACTTTTCTAAAGTAGTATGTTTAATTTTAAAAAATATTTACAATGTAATTAGTAATATTTAAGCCGTTTTAATAATTACGTCCATATCTCACATTAACAACGAGATGTGAAATTGAGTAATATACTTTTAAAAATATTTTTCTATTTGATAAAAACACTGGGGCTATTCATGTGATTTTTAATCAACGTGTGGGTTGCATCTCCCTAGCAAATGAATTTACATAATTATCTTGCTACACTTAAAAAGTTTTCTTGTATTCGATTGATCAGAACTGCTAATATCTTTCCATACATTGCTTTATCATTGCAATGGTTCTTTAAAGTGTTTCTCGGGGAAGCACTTAATTGATTAGATATTCAGAAAATGTGTATATAAGAGATTAAGACAACATAGTTTCAATACAGAAAACTAAAGTAAGAGTAAGATCTAGTGGCCTTTTTCTTGGAGAAAGTGAATTTTCCCAAGTAATGCTGTGCTAAAAGCATCCAAACATGCGCACACCTGGGAACTTTGAAGGAACAAACTTTCTGT